TAAAAAAAACATATTTACAATTTACAACAACAATAAATATAATTTAGTAAATAATAAACTAATAATTTCAAAATTAACTCGTTTTAATAATACTACTACTATTAATATAAATATTATAGTTGATTTTATAATTAATTTTATTATTATTCGAAGTTTTAGCGATTTTTAATTTTAGCTATTTGTTTTAGTTAGTACAATCGGCTTGCAAATTATTTGATTAAATAGTTTAATAATAAAACGTTTAGCAAAACTCGTTTAACTAAAAAACTTAAGTTCGATATTTAATTAGTTTTTTAAAAAAAACTGAGCTTTTTTAATTAAAGCTTGTTTTTTTTTTTAGTAATTACATTTTTAAAGCTTGCATTAGTTTATTGCTATTGTATAATTTTCTTTTTAAAAATACTAAAAAAATCAAACTTGTTACAATTTTTAAAAAAATCGATTTTACAACTTAAAAAAAATCCGACTTAAAATAATTACGTAATCAATTTAGAAAAAAAATTGAAGTTAAAAAAAATTCTACGCAAAATTTTTAAGTTTTAATGCTATTAGTTTTGCATTTTAAGTAACTTTATACAAAATAATTAAAACTATAATTACGTATTTTTTTTTAAATTATATTTTATTATTTTACGTTATACAAAATGTGCATTTGTAATAAATATACAAAATAAAAACTAGTAGTTTTGCTTTTATATAACTAAATTAAATTAAAAATAGTTCTAATACATGATGAAATGTTTTCTAATACATATCTATTTCGGACTAGCTCGTATGCTAAGCTTTGCCAAGCTTTTTATTTAAAAGCAATACTTTTATAAAAATTTGAAAGCAAAGCTTTGTAATAGCGCTTTTTAAGTTATTAAATCAAAACAGTAAAAAAGTTAATAGACTAAGCGGCAAAATCGGTCTTGGCGCGCTAAGACTTGGTTTTCTATACTATGATCGCCCAATTACCATGAGGTGGGGTGTTAGTTGTTTTAGTTTTATTGCTTTTTTAGTTTTGTAGTACGAAATATTAACTAGAAATAAATTACTACTTATATTTAAAAATATTTTTCGCTGATTTTTATAACTATTAAAATAGCAAAAAGTAACTAGTTTTGTGCTACGTAACGGAAAGCCGGTTGTTAAATAAATTAGTAATAAACACTGTTTTTTAAATTTAAGCAAATCTTTTAAATAAACTTTTACTTTAAAAACATTTACTTTAATTGCATTATTAGCTTAAACTACGAAATCTAAAAAACTATTTTCGAATATTTAATTAATTAAAAATTTGTTATTCGCTTGCAAATCAGGACTTAAATCTCGAAAATATTAAAAAAGATTGTTAAATTCCGATTTTTAAACTTCGAATACTTTTTTAAAGTAATATACTAATATTCAACTTTTGAAATATTAAACAAAACTTGCTTTTTAATAACGAATTCGACTTATAAACTATTTCTTTAAATAACAACTTTAAATTATTTACACTAATAATAACTTTGTTGTAAAAAACCGTTTGTTTTAAAATAAACTAATACTAACAAAATTGGCCGTACTAGTCTGTTTATTAATTTTGAAAGCTAAACTTCGATTATTAAGTATTTCAGCTAACGCGGTACTAACGCTATTGTTAAAATAACTAAACATAAAATCAAGCAACAATTATATAAAATCAAATTCGAGTTCGCAAATAATTAACAAAACAAAATTCGATTACAATTAACTAACTACAGTAAATAAATTTCGAATAACTTTGACTTAATTGTAAACTGTTTTAAAACGAATAGTTTTTGTTGCAATACTATTACTGCAAAAAAACTATTAATACAAGAATCAAAAATATATAAATCTTGTGTTTGTTGAAAAATAGCAATTATAACTGTACTAAACTTCTTTAATATGTATACTAGTAATATTTGTAAAATAATTAATATTTTGAATTTTAGACAACAATTCTGTATTTGAACTATTTTGTACAACATAATTACTATTGCTTGAAACAATACTATTTAAATTGCTAATTGTAAATTAAGAAATTGAATCGTAATTAAAAAAACTAAACTACTAGTTTCTTTTTTTTCGTTTTCGCTATTTTTACTTTTTGATTTTTTTTTTAGCAAACTATTAGTTTTTAAGTAGTTAAACTTTTGATTAACAGTAGCTTTAGCTTTTTTGTATAATTGCAAACTCGAATTTAAAACTTGATTTTGATTTTTTTGTATTTTAGTACTTACTAATTGCAAAAGATTTTTGACTAAATTCAAAATTTGAAAATTCATTTGAAATACAGAATAAAAGTTGCATGTTTTTCGTTTTGCAAATTAGCTGTAAACGCACGAATAAAATAAATCAAAAATTAGCTATAAAACGCAAAATATTTTACACGCGTAGTACTGTTTAATAATAGTTTAAACAGCTTATTGCGGATTTTTTTTTTTTAAAACTATTTAAAAAAACAAATGTAATTTGTTTAAAAACACGGTTTTTTTTAGATTAAATACAAAACTTTTTTTAAATTTAAAACAAGAATTTGCAATTGTTTTTTATTATTTTGCACAAGTTCAACTAAATTTACTAAGTTTTAAATATTGTACTTATTAATATATTCGACATATCGAGTTTTAATTTGAAAAAAAAATAATTTTTTATACGGATTTAGTTAGAAACAACTAAGTTGTTGCATAAATTCTTGTTTTTTTTAAGAATAATCAACAAAAAACGCTTGTTTCGCTTGTTCGAAAACTTGATTCGATATAAATAATGTTGTATTTAAAAAATCGCTTAAATTAGTATTTACTAATTCTACCGAATTTTCTTTCGTAATCAAAACACTTAGTTCGATTTCGATTTGTTTTTCTTTCAGTTTAATATTAAAAAAATATTTATTTAATTCTAAGTTTTGCTTTAAACTGCTACGAAATATAAAGTAATATTGAAATCGAAATGCATTTGTGTTTTATGTCGTTAAATATTTTGCTTTGATTTAAATAAACTACTACAAACTACGCATTAAAAAAAAATCAATTTGTAATTCCGGAAACGCAAAAAACCGATTGTGATTTTGTTGGAAATTCGAAATCAAATTAATACTATTAAATAAAGAAATAATGTCGATCAAAGTACACTTGTTACTTATTTCAGCCGTTTTACTAACTTTAGCTTTGCTTTTATAGCTTTCTAAATTGAAAATATACTTTTAAATGTTTTTATTAACACCGATTTTGCAAATTGCACAAGTAAGTAATTTAAAATCTGCATAATATGTAAAACAAGCTAAATCTGGTTTTTAAACAATAAAAGAAATTCTACTAAATTAGAATTAGAAATAAATTTTCCGGAATCTTAATTGTAAGTTAAAAATCGAAAAGACATTGTTAATTAAATATTAATAGTAGCAATAAAAATTAGCAATAAAAGTCAGTAATCAAAAATCAACAATTAAAAGTCAGCAATTAAAAGTCAGCAATTAAATATCAACAATCAAAAATCAGCAATAAAATATCAACAATTAAATATAACAATTAAATATCAGCAATTAAATATCAGCAATCAAATATCAGCAATAAATATTAGCAATCAAATATCAGCAATCAAATATTAGCAATTAAATATCAGCAATAAATATTAGCAATTAAATATTAGCAAGTACAAATCAGCAAAATAAATCAGCAAATACAAATCAGCAAGTACAAATTAGCAAAAATAAATCAGCAAATACAAATCAGCAAATACAAATTAAAAACAATTAAAATAATTTTTTTTTGAAAGTTTATAGCTTTTTAAAAAGTAATAAAAAGCTAATAAAAAAACTTTACAACTTTAAAAACCAGCTTATTATAGAGTTATATTTACAATAATCAACGAATACGTAGTTTGTAAAATTGTAAAGCTCTAAACAAAAAAGAAAAAAAAAACAAAAGTTGTCGAATTTTTTTTACAATTGTACACAACACGTTTCTTAAGCAACTTAAGCGAAATGCTTAACATTTAAAGTTATATAAAATATTTTTTATGTAGCAAACTACACTTTTGCAAATGTAAATATAGCTTTTTTAGTTTTGTATTAAACTTTAAGCTATAGTTTATACTTTAAATAAAAGTGTAATTTGCAAGTTATATGTTATTATATACTGTTGTATAACTTTTTTTTTTTTTTCTAACTGTATAAATCCAAAATTACGTGTGTACTTGTTTTCAGCTGTACAAAACTAGAATTATGTATTACAGCTACAGTTACAGCTACAGTTACAAACGCACGTATTTTTTTCAGCTGTACAAAGCCGGAATCACGTACGTAGTTTTTCCAGCTGTACAAAGCTAGTACTATATACGTAAAGCTACAGCTGTACAAACTAGAATTATGTACTACAGCTACAGCTACAGCTACAGCTATAGACGTACGTACTTTTTTTTTAGCTGTACAAAGTCAGAATTACGTGCGTACTCCTTTTCAGCTGTACAGAGCTAGTATTACGTACGCACAGCTACAGTTGTACAAAACTAAAATCACGTATTACAGCTTTAGCTTTAGCTACAGCTACAGCTACAGCTACAGCTACAAACGTACGTACTTTTTTTCCAGCTGTACAAAGCCAGAATCACGTACGTACTCCTTTCCGGCTGTACAGAGCTAGAATCACGTATTACAGCTACAGCTGTTCAGAACTAGAATCACGTATTACAGCTACAGCTGTACGGAACTAGAATTATGTACTATAGCTACAGCTATACAAAGCCAGAATAACGTACGCACTCTTTTCCAGCTGTACAAAGCTAGAATTACGTGCATACACTTTCCTAGCTGTACAAAGCCGGAATCACGTACGCACAGCTACAGCTGTTCAGACTAGAATCACGTATTACAGCTACAGCTACAGCTACAGACGTACGTACTTTTTTCTAGCTGTACAGAGCCAGAATCACGTTCGTACAAGCGTGTTTGCCAATTCTGGCAGTTCTATGTATTACTTTTATTCTTTTTTTTAGCATTAATGCTAACTAAACAGTTAAATTTAGTAGTTTAGTTAGTATAACTCTTAATTTTGAATTAAGAAACGTAGTTCGATTTCTACTTAAATTCGTTAACGTAGCATTTTTAATATTGCAAAATGCCGGAGATATTATATTGTTTTGTTGAAATTAGTATTGTTTTTGTTTTTAGTGTTAAAAGCACTTACGTAAAGTTACAGTTGTACAGAACTAGAATTACGTATTACAGCTACAGCTACAACTAAAAACGTACGTACTTTTTTTTAGCTGTACAAAGCTGGAATCAGTACGTACACTTTTCCAGCTGTAACAGAGCTAAAACTACATATATACAGCTACAGCTGTACAGAACTAGAATCACGTATTACAACTACAGCTACAGCTATAGTTACAGCTACAGCTATAACTACAAACGTACGTACTTTTTTTTTCAGCTGTACAAAGCTAGAATTACATGTGCACTTTTTCTAGTTGCACAAAACTAGAATCACGTACTACAGCTACAGCTACACAAACTAGAACTACGTACGTATTCATTTTTAGCTGTATAAAACTAAAATTACGTTCGTACAAGCGTGTTTGCTAATTCTGGCAGTTTTTCGTACTACTTTTTTTTTTTTTTTTAGATTAATACCAACAAAACTGTCAAATTTAAGTAGTTTAGTTAGTATAACTTTTGATTCTGATTAAAAAACGTAAATTCGATTTTTATTTAGATTCGTGTTATAGTATTGCTTCGGAAGTTTCGACTTTT